GTGAGGCAAGAGGCAACAGGTCTTGGCTTGTGTGATAAAAGCCTTCTAGAGCAGCGCGTGGGCCCGCGTCGCGAAGCTCTTGTTGAATCAGAGATCCAGTTATCTTTCTTCGTGGCGTTATCGGTGTCGGTGTTGGTGCGTGTCCATTGGCCTGTAGTCGCATCTGGATCATCGAGGTCAAGCCCAAGTTCGCGTATTTCAATAGACTCCTTCGCCTTGCGAGTCTTGTCGTTCCGCTGTATCTTAATCCTGATTATCTTCTCGTTCTGTGTCCTATTTGGGTTGGGATTGTCGGGCTGACGAACAGCCCGTGATTGAGAATGCTGGGCCGAAGCCTCCTCGCCGAGCAGAGTAGCTGGCGCGTTCGTCGGCCCTGCAATTTTCACCCTTCCTGAGCAGAAGACGCTGCTCGTTCCGAACCGAAGTGCGCGACCAATCGTGCGTGGAGTTGTGTGGCTACTTTTGCGATTATTCGGCTTGCCTGGGAAATAAGCGCGGGGCCCTTCTCGGCGGGGCGTTCTGTGGCCCTGTGCCAGGAGGCTGGGTGCACCGAGTACTTCGGACATGTGCGCAGTAGGCTTGTCCCTTGTTTTCTCGTCGCGACGACGTGGAATGCTGTCTTGGACGATGACTTGTTGCGAGGTTCTGGTGTGAGTCGAAGTCAGCAGAGCCTGATGAAGACCAGTCTCATGCCAACTGCTGGGTTCATGACTAGTTCTATCGTGAGATCCAGCCTGTTGCCAAGTCCATTGCAGCGCAGAGTATGTTGTGCCTGCCACGCGGCGGTAGTAGCTGATGTAACAGTTCTCGGGCACGATTGTGTTTATTCTCCTGATGCGTACGGCTAAGCGGCGCCCTCATACGTGCTGGTATTCCGGTTGAGCGACTTCGCGAAGGCGATCGGAGAAATGGGGCGAGATGTTGATGTTGGTGGGATGGGGTGCTCGCGTGTGCCATCCGTGCTGCTCGAGAGCTCTAGGACCTGCGGGTGTGATCTCTATCGCTGGAGAGCGGTTGGGACACGACGTTGGTTCCCAGGCAAAGGGAGCCGTGGCTCCCCCTGAAAGGGCCTCGACTCATCGAGAGCCGAGGGTCGACCGCTGCTCAGCCTATTTGGTCGATGGGGGCAGCTTCTTTTGTCGTGTCCTGCGTCTCCGTCTCCATCTCGTCGACGAGCTGGCCCATCGGCGGGGTGGAGGCGCCCGCGCTGCGCTGCTGGTCGATGAAGTTCATCTCGCGGGGGCCCCGCAGGGCTGCGGCCCTCCGCGGTGCGCCGGCGGACGGACGAGCGCCGTCGGTGACTGCTGCTGGCTCCGAGGCGGCGGTGGCCGTGTCTGGGGCCGGCCGGCGGCGGCGCTGACGTTTGCGATTGTCCTGAAGCTGGTGTTGCAATGTCGAACATCTGTGGCGGTGGTAGGACAGCTGGCGCGTCGGTGCGCGCGTGGGTCTGGGCCGCGGTGAGCGAAGCTGCTGGCCGCGAGCCGTGGGCAGATCCAGGCAGCTGCCAGGGGCCGTTGGCGGACGGATGGCTGCGCTGGCGTGGCGCTGGGGCCCGGCCGCGACCGAGGAAAACCCTCAGTGACCATGAAAGCAACTCTAGAGATCTGGGAGATTGGGCCGTGTTCCAGAAAGCCGTCTATAAGTTCAGAGACTGCGTGACCTCCAGACTGGCCGCCGCTTCCGCTGTCCTGTGGTGATGATGCGGTGCCTTGCGGAAGTTGAATTCGCTCCCGCGGGCGCCTTTCGTCATGGTGGTCCCGTCGTAGCTTTGAGGATTGCGGCGCCTGCCTTTCCCTTCGCTAGACAAGCGCATGCTGTGCCCTGTCCCATCCCACCGAGGAAGACCTGATCTACTTGAGTGTCTGAGAGCTCCAAGAGAAATGCGTACTTCTGGGCACCTTTGCCTTTGCCTTTTCTGATGAAGGTGTTGTTGTTCTTCTTGATGAACCTACGCACCTTCCGCGTCGGGCCCTGCGTGTATTTGCGCCGCTGACGTCTAGCAGTTTTCATCTGCCAAACCAACTGAGCATCTATCTGGGCAGGGTTGAGACCTTGGAACTCTGGTGCTTGGTAAGTGACCTCGCCGCCTGGGTCCGAGCTGGTGTCTGAGGAAGCCCCGCTGCCATAGTTGGCCCCGTCCGCAGGCGCCTGCGCGGCGGCGGGGTAGGCTGCCTGCTTCGGCGTGGCTCTCTGCGACGGGCTGGCGACGAACGTCGTGGCACCTCCAGCGCCGGGAAGCTCGGCGTCGCCAGCCCTGAGTGTGCTAGGGGTCCGTGGCAGGTGTGTCGTTGCTGTTGTCATTGGTTATGCCCGCGAAACCTCCGAAAGATGGCGGCGTGCGAAGAGCGCTGGCGATGTTATCTGGTGGATGCTCCACGATATGTCCCACGCGCCACAGGGGTAGAAGTGAGTCAGTTGAACTCGGCCTTCGTGGCTGGGGATCAGTTGCCGTAGGGTTGGAGCAGCGTCATGAGTTGGCTAGCTGTGACGCCGATCGCTCGGAAGAGCAGTCATCTGTAGCCTCCCCAAGACATCGCAGCTCCACCTTTGTACGTTGCTAGGAAGTCGCAGCGTGGGAAGCCGCGAGAGAAGCGCGTCGGTGGCTTCGTTGCGGCGGCTCGGGAACTCGAAGAACGTGCGGGTAGCCTGGGGGCGTGAATTCTCGCCGAATGGGCCGAACTGTGTGGCGATGTTCGCAATGAGGTAGGTCACGGCGTCCTCGTGCTGGCCGTTGGGCATGCCTCCCTACGTCATCTCCGTTCTGCTCACGGAGCGCGTGAGCTCGCGAGCGGTCCCGCCGAGGTTGAGGATGACGGCGTCGCGTCGTTGGGCGCTGTCCGTGTCGGTTGCTAGCACGATCCAAGCGAGCATGTCCTGTGCCCAGTGGCGGAAAAAGGATACGTGGATTCGCGCTCGGGTGACCGTGAGTGCGACTGGCAGGAAGGTGGTCCCGCCGCGGCCCCCGCTGCCGCCGTGTGGGCGGGCTCCACCATGCATTACGCCGGTGAGCCAGGATAGGACGGCCACGAAAAATACGAGGATGCTGTCCCAAAGCGTCAAGATGGAAATACTTCTCGATAGGACCTCACCGCGATGATGGCTGCGGAAGCGCCTCGGGACCCGGGCCTCTGCAGGGACGAACACAATGTTGAAATATGGGGCCTCCATCATGATGCCGTCAACCTTGGCCGAAGCTGAGGCGGTGAAATTGGTGTGCTAGAGTTGAAGGCTCCTTCCGGGTGGTGCGATTTGCTCACAAGGACAGCCAGTCAACACTATCGCACACATACCGAGGCACGGCGCTAGCCCAGGGAGGGGCCTCGTAGTCATGCCTGACGTGGAATTGCGGCCAGTGCATGTGGGGTTGCGATGGGTCGAGGAACGTCGTGGCGTTCCTGTTGGCGAACCGCTCCTTATCGCGGTTGCGCCTTTCGCTGATGCCGTCACAATCGGACCACTGGGCGTCCGGTGCGAATTGCCACTCGGCTTGCAAAACAGCCATAAGCACAAGGTGCTCAAGGCATGGAGGGTGGTACCAATGCGGAGGTGAAGGTAGGTGCGGGCGTGCGGCCACACCGCCTTATGCACACGTTCCCTGGATCGCGAAGTGCGATCGGTCCCAGCTCCGCTACCAACCGGAATTGGGGGGTGGGTGGAGCCTGTGCGAAAGAGAGCATGGCGGCAATGAGATGCGGATTGCGGGGCTTTTACTTCATACGGTATACGTGTACGCGCCGGCGCTGAATCCAAGCGGCGGCAGAACATTTTATTCGAGTGAGGAGGCCGAGGAAGAGGAGGAAAAGGAGGAGGAAAAGAAGGAGGAGGACCAATGTAAACGCAGAAAATATCAAATATGCTGCAGTATACCCTCCCGTCCAAGTTCGCTCCCCAAAGTCCCCCCCACGCATTTCGCTACGGGAAACGTCCCCTTGAAAGAAAGAGCGCCGCATGAGCCTGTCATTCAGGCGTCAACCCCATTTTGAACAGGATCTTCCTCACATCATTCAGCATAGGAAGAATTAGAGCATGTATGATCAAACACTTCAAAGGCATTTTCGGCGAAGGCCCACTTTTGAACAGGATCCGAGCACGATCCTCTCAACTTTTGCGCAACTCCATCCTGTCAGTATTTTGGAACAGTTTCCCGGCGATGATCTCATTTTGAAAATGAACCGCCCTCCATCCTTGGAGTTGAGGCCATGCTACGATTTGCGTGCTATTTTCGAGGAAGCCTTCTGCGGGACCCCAGCTCAAACAACAACGAACACTTGTATGACAGCGTATCGCGGCGCTTTTCCGCGAACCACACTGTACAACCATCCTGTCGTAACTGCTGGAACCTGTCAGATCGACTGTGCGCGGCGCTAAGGCGACAACCAAATTTTGAATAGATTCGCCCTCCATCCTTCTATCTGCTGTACCTTCAAAAACAAATATGAGCGGTGCTGGGGCGAGAAACGCATGCTGAAAATGAGTCGCCCTCCCTGATTGTAGCTCTTGGAGGCTGCTCCGACGCACGCCTGCAACGTTACATCAAGAACCACATTTTTGAGTCCAGCCGTCCTCCAGCTGTGTCGCTGTTGGGGAATCCTGGCTTCAGGGCCGTAAGCGGTGAGAAGGTCTCAAGGGAAACGTCTGGCCCGCCCTGCCATTTCGGGGGGGGGGAGAAGGAGGACGAAAGCTGAGGGGACGAATCGGACAGAATGGATGACCTCGCAAGCTGGCAAAACTGGTATCAGGGCGGTCCCGGAAACACCCATACCACAACTGAGACATCTTCAAAGTCCGGCCCTGCCAACACGTTTTGTGGTGCAGCGACAACTCCGCCTGGCGCAGATCGTGTGATCCTACAAAGCCCTCGCCCGTTTCGGCCTCCAAGGAGCGCGCTGGTGAACCAGGGTGCGCGGTGCGCAGCTGGGGCGGTGTCGCACGGCGCGCCAAGCAAGCGAGCAGCAGCATCAATCCGCGCCGAGGTCCGAGGGACGGAGGCTGCCAGCAGCCTGGGTCGTGCCACCCCGCGCCGCCGCCGCCGCCGCCGCCTCTGCGGCCGCCACGGGCGGCCCGATCCGGGCGACCGGGTCCACAACCTTGCCGAGGAAGGAATAAGCGAGGGGAGGAGGACAAGTGAGGAGGCGGGAGAACGGCGAGGGGGACGGAGGAGGATGATGAGAAGTAAGTGGGGGAGGAGGAGGAGGAGGAGGAGGAGGAGGAGGAGGAGGAGGAGGAGGAGGAGGAGGAGGAGGAGGAGGAGGAGGAGGAGGAGGAGGAGGAGGAGGAGGAGGAGGAGGACGAGGAGGAGGAGGAGGACGAGGAGGAGGAGGAGGAGGAGGAGGAGGAGGAGGAAGAAAACCTCTTTGACCTCTTTGCTCTCGGATACAGTCCACACCCCGTCCTTCATCCTGTCTGCTGCAGTGAGCCAGAAGTGTCTGAATCCCCCTGCGTGACCCGTTGGTCTCCAACCTGCTGCCCACGGGCCGCTGCCAGCAGTCTCTGAATGATCGCCTGCGTCCGAAGCTCCTTGGCCACGCGCAGCCTCTCCTGCTCTTGCCCGTCGTCGCGGGCACGGGTCACACATGGGGGCTCGGCGGGGGCCCCCTCTTGCTCGCGGTGCACCTCCTCCCTGGCCTCAAGGGCCGACACGACACGACATCCATCCCTGCGAGCAATAGCCATCTTGATGGCTCTTGGGGGGCCTTCCCGCCGAGGAAACATGCCTTGTTAAATTCTGCGCATGTTCTCTGCGCCGTTCGGCGTGAGACCCGCGCACTTCTTCCGCAGGGACCTCGAGTCCACTGTGGCGTACATCCCGCAGAGGGAGCAAATCTGCAAGAACCAGCGATCGACGAACGTGATTGTGTGAGACGGGTGGATTTCCAGGTCCACTCCGTTCAACGGCGTGAACTCGGGAGCCCCAGGGACGCTTTTCCCAGGGGGCCCAGCACACGACGAAACAGAAAAGCGCAAAAACCTGCATCCATGAACGATTAGCTCGCACTGAGAACACCTCCACTTACTACCTACTCGCTCAAGCTGGTGGGGCGAATCTCTTATCGCTTTCTCCTGCTTGGAAAGCTTCTTGAATACTGGGGCCCTGCCAGCGCGCTCTCCCGTCTCTGACGAGGCGGCCAGCATGAACGCCCGTCTAGCTCGCTTGCGGACCAGGTGCGCAATCGAGTCAATCCTGTCAGTGTCAGGCTCCCTCCCCACCAGCCCGAACTCCCACGCCAACTCCGTCCCGACTCCCGCCCAGACATCTGCTGCTAAATTACCTGCCGCCAGGAACAGCTGCTGCGGGGAGTCAAGCAATTCAGGCGACTCGTCGAGATGTGAAGCCGTCCACACTACATTGACCACTCGATCTGGGTGGGCCTGCCAAGCGGCTCTCGCACGGGTCCACAGGTCCTCGTTTGGGCCAGTGGCTCTCGGGTGCCCAAAGCGAAACTTCCAGGTTTTTGCGACCGCCTTGTGGTCGGTGATAACAGTGACATCAGAAGGGCATTCTTCAAACGCCAGCGCAAAAGCTAAAATCTCCGATCGGGGAGCCGTTTGCCTGCGACCGAGGAGTGGGACTGCTAAGGTTCGACCAGCTTCCCACTCCCCGTCGCGCTGCTGCAATGCTACACTGGCTGATCCACATCGGCGACGGCGAGGGTCCGCTGAATGCTTACCTCCCGAGCCGTCGCCGAAAATATGGACCTCTCCTTCGAACGTGCACTCCTCCCAGTCCCCCAACTCACCAAACCGAACCTCCCTCCCCTCCAGCGCCTCCTCATCAAACTTAGGATGGGTGAGAGAGGCTGGCGGCAGTCCTCGAAGCCACAGTGCAGGGTCAGCGTCAGCTTGCGCCATCGCAGCGGGCACAAATGACTCAGACTTGATGAAGTCGTCGTGGTCCACGTTCTTTGGGCACGTCCAGATCCGATGCATCAGCGTCTCGTCCGCCTCCTGGCATCTATCGCACTTCTTGCAGTCCAGGAGGTACCCCTGCTCGGCGGATCGCTGCTTCGGCCACTGCCCTCCCGTGACCACCGTGATGTTCAAACCAACCATGTCGAGCTGCCCCTGCTTCTCGAACCTGCGCTGTTCAGCTCGGATCTGCCATACATCTGCTCCAGCTTCCAATCCGCCTCCGTGGGGGTGAGCTGAGGCCGCCTTCCACAACTGGGCTCGAATATCGTCCTCGAAGTCGTCCAGCAGCGGTTGAAAACATCCCGTGCTCTCGAACGTGCCTCCCATTGCCGACGAAGGAGGGGGAATAGAAGGAAAAGGAGGATGAGGAGGAGGAGGAGGAGGCGGAGGAGGAGGAGGAGGAGGATGAGGAGAAGGAGGAGGAGGAAGAGGATGAGGAGGGACAGGAGGAGGACATGGAGGAGAAGGGGGGAGGAGGAGGAAAAGGAGGAGGTGGAGGAGGCGGAGGAGGAGGAGGAGGAGGGGACCAGTGCAAACCCAAGACTCATCCACGATCTTGCAATCGACCCTCCCTCCAAGTTTCCTCTTCATAAACCCATGCAAGGACTCATTGTCGCTGAGGAAAGTGTCCCGTTGGAAAGAAATCGTTTGAACATCTAGATTTGTGCCTTCAACACTATTTGTGGGACTTCGACGTCGCGAACCACTGAGATTGTTGCGCGTCGACGGTCTTGAACCGTGACAAAACACCATTCATGGGACTTCAGCATCGCGAATCAACGAGACTTTTGCGCTCTGACATTCCCACATCGTGCCACAGCCTCACTTCTGGGACGTCAGCCATATTACCCCTAGACGCTGTTGCAAGTTCTCAAAACGAGTGTTCGCGGCGCGAGAGTCACAACCACTTTTAAACATCGACCGCCATCCATCCGTGAACCTGTTGCGAGCTTTATCGAACAATGTGCGCGGCGCTGGGGCGAGAACCACACTTTGATGTGCGTCACGACGTCACGATCAAGATCATCACGGCACACAGAACCCGAACAAAGGAACAACACTTTTCAAGCCAGCGGTTCAGTGGGTCCTCGGGCGCGAGCAGCAGATGGAAGTGCTAATTGCGATCGAGCATCGTCGAAATCGCAGTGCAAGAAGCGTCAATCACTGACGTGCAGGGATGGGTGGTGGGTGGGAAGGACTGTAACCCAGTTGGCACAAGCGGCCAACACACGTCCCCATCCCCTCCGACAAAATCGGCCCTGGACCTCTTCAGGGATGCGCTTTTTTGGGGGGGGCGCCGAAAGGGGAACTGACAGGGGGCAGGCCTTCTCTGGCGGCGGGGCATGCCAGGCAGCTATCCAGCCTCATGGGAAGCACTCTGTACTGTCGGAGTAGGCTTCAAAAACTACTCGGAAAACCAGAGGCTTTCTGAACCTTCCGCAAAGCCCCGCCCCCTCTGCCGTCCCCCCTGGGCGCGCCGCCGAATTTTTACCTCGATTTCGAACGGGAGCCAGGGCGACGAGAAGGCTCCCAGAGGCTCCCCCCAAAAAGGCAAACACCCCCAAACAGTTGGATCCTTGAAGCACGATCCTTCGATCCTCCGGGAGAGAGGTCTGGGTCTCTTGGCTCCCCTGGCGACCTTCGGGAACGCCTCCCGCAGCGTGACGTTGCGGATCCGCGCGCGGTGCGCGTCGGAGGAGAGCTCCACTGTCTCGGAGGTCCGCAGCGCCTCGGCCGCGGTGGCCGCGGTGGCCCCCAGCGATCTCAGGCGCGGGAACTCGCAGAGCGCCTCCGGGCGCGGGCCAGAAGTCCACGGGGGGGGAGAAGGATGCGCAGGAGGGAGGAGGATGAGGGGGAGGAAGGTGGAGGAGAAGGAGGGGGAGCGAGGAGAAGGTGAATCCAGTCGACGCGTTTTCCTTTGCCTTTGCAATTTGTGGGTCTCCTGGGGCCTCTGGATGGCCACGGGGACGTTGGGATACCTCCGGGGTCCTTCGGAGCTAAGAGGTGGAGGAGGACAACGGCGAGGAGGACGGCTATGTCGAGGACGGGGACGACGGCTATGTCGACGATGATGACGAAGATGGCGGCGGCGACTAGCAGGACGTCGCTCCATCCAGCAGGCGTCTTGTTGTGTGCTTGCTTGCTTGTTTGCTAGTCTGGTTATTGCTGTAGGGCTTTGTTTGTCTGTTTCAATTTTCCCCCATATGATTCTTTTTTATATAGAGTGTATTTTACTATTTATGTTGTAAACTAATAAACAACTATATATTGATATATGGATATACTATCAATGATAGTCACTGACATACTGTTCATGTCTGCCAATATTGACATTTGAAACATTGATATACTGACGATGCATATTATTGTTGGCTCTCTGTCCGCTCTGGCGCCCGGTCCGCTCTCGCCTCGGCACCACTTGTACTTTCCTTCGCTCGGGCGTCTCGGGGGTGCGCTGGAACCGCCCCCCCCCCCCCACAACAGTGACACCTGCCCTGCCAATCTGTTCGATGCTCCTCGTCCTCCTCCTCCTCCTCCTGCTCCTCCTCCCTTCTTTCCCCCTCTCCTCCGCCTCCTCAGTCGACTTCGAACGACAAATCATCGTGCCTGTTCCTCCTCCTCCTCCTCGTCCCAATCTTCCGCATCCTCATCCGCCGTTGCTCCCCATCCATTTGATTTTCCTTCTCCTCCTCGTCCTCATCCTGTGATCATATCAGGGCTTCAATCGGCCGACAGTGCCTCAAGCCTCACCCAGCCGAAGCGGTCCATCAGAGCCCGCAGGTGCATGTCGTGGCAGACGTTGTTGACCTCAGGCGGAAGATGGTGAGGGAGGTGGATCATGCTGACGAGGGCGAGGAGGAGGACGATGAGGTGGACGAGGAAGGAGAGACGGGATGATGAGGAGGCGGGGAGGATGATGACGAGCAGGATTGTGAGCGGGAGGCCAAGGATGCGGATGATGGTAATGATGATGACGACGATGATGGGGATAAGTGGGGAGGAAGGGGAGGGAGAAGAGGGAGAGGATGGGGAAGAGTTGGATGACAGAGATGAACAGGGAGGCGGTGGTGGTGGTTCGAATGACCGCTCGTGGGGCACTATTGAAGTGACGGAGCAGGAGCTTGGGGCCCTGCTCAACTGGGGTGGCCACACGCACCCGCACGCTTATTGCACAGCCTGTTCACGTTGCTGGAACGTTTTGCACGGTTGCTCCTCCTCCTCCTCCGCCTCCTCCTCCTCCTCCTCCTCCGCCTCCTCCTCCTCCTCCTCCGCCTCTCCTCCTCCTTCTCCCCTCCTCCTCCTCCTCCCCTCCTCCTCCTCCTCCTCCTCCTCCCCCCTCCTCCTCCTCCTCCTCCTCCTCCTCCTCCTCCTCCTCCTCCTCCTCCTCCTCCTCCCCCTCCTCCTCCTCCGCCTCCTCCTCCTCCTCCTCCTCCTCCTCGTCCCGCCCCTCGTGCCCCTTGCCCTCCAAGGGCACCCGCCCAGGCCGCACGGGGCCCCTCGGGAGGCAGAGATCCAACAGCAAAAAACTACCCCCCCCACACCGGAGCCCTGGCCACGCCCATATCCGGAGTCTGAGATCGGCGCATCGATTCCTCCCCTGCTCTCTAAACCTCCGACGACTTTTTTCGAGTCGCCCAGCCTCTCGACGTTCTTCCCGGGGCCAACTCTTCATGCCGAACCGCCTTGGTGATGATCACAAGGCCTGGAAGCAATCCCCATACGCCGGAAATGGCAAATCACCTCCGGCTCGATTTTCTCGAGCCCTCATTTGCTTGGCGCGAAGTCCGACCACTTGGGCCCAGGAACGGCCCTGCCAAGATCGGTGGTCCGACTGACGGATCGGGTCCTCCTAGACCTCCAGGCGCCGCGAACAAACCACGACGTGCCGCCTCTGTGCAAAGGGCTTCCGCAGAGTGTGGGCGTCTGAGAGTAAGGCTGGAACATTCAGACATGATCAAAACATGACTTCTTGGGGCCCCAAAAGCGTGTAGACCTCGGAATCCCCAACAACCTCACCGCGCGGTCCGCCACCGCAAGGCTTTGGAACCCTCCGGGGCGCCGGGCGCCCGAGGCGTCCTCGGAGGACGACCCGAGTCCCAGAACCGCACGGTGACCCCGACTCTCCACTGACTCACCACGCGGTGGGGCCAGGGCCACCGCACCGTTTGGGGGGCCCCGAGCTTCCTCCGGGATGCCGCCTCCTCACGGCAGCCCTGGCGCATCGATCCCTGGGCATCCCCCGGGGCGCCTCTCGGCCCGCAGGTCGACGGTCAGGAGCTTCTGCTGCGCCTGCCGCGGCGGCGGCCCCAGCGACACGCTGTGCCTTGCAGGCGGAGGGCTTGCCGCTTCTCGCCGCGGGGCGGCTCGCTGGGAAAGGCCCAGGACGTTGACGCCTGGGGACTGGGCAGTGGATACCTTGTGGTCACCACATTGCTTTAAGGCCACCGACGCTTGCTACAAGCCCCGCCAGAACCGATGGAGCCTTCAGGGGGCTGGGAGCGGCCGGGGGGTCTGAACTGGATGTGCTCTGGGACAATCGGTCAAGAAGGGGCGAGAAAGGGAAACCCGGCCCAAATCAATGCCAGATCCTTCCCGGGGTGCACTCTTCCACCCCAGATCCATGCTTGACGGTTTTCGGGGCCCGAGAGCGGCCTTGGAGGCAGAACAAGAACAGCAAAACCCTTCCCGAGCCCAGCGCCCCGAAGCTGCCCTCCTTCCAGGGCGCAGAAACCAACGGCAACGGGCGACGCGAGGCCAGCACCGAGGACGACCCCCGGGATTGGACGGAAGATCACGCCGTCGGAGACCGGGGCCCCCGATCGCCCACAGACGGAGCGGCCAGATCGGTGATCTTCCAAGCCGCGGGCGAAAATGTTTCAGGTCGGGGAAGCCGCTGGCCGATCGCACCCCGCGCGTGAGCCGGTACCACCGCGCCCGCAGCGAGCGCGCGCCGATAGACGGCCCAGGGAATTCCAACCGCGCCTGCCCAATCTTGCTCCTCCTCCTCCTCCTCCTCCTCTTCCGCGTTATCCTTCTCCACGTCTTCCTCCTAACCTTGCTGCTGCTGCTGCTCCTCGTCCTCCTCTTCCTCCTCCTCTTCCTCCTCCCTTCCTCCTCCTCCTCCTCCTCCTATTGCCCCCCTCCTCCTCCCCCCTCCTCCTCCTTCCTCCTCCTCCTCCTCCTCCTCCTCCTCCTCCTCCTCCTCCTCTTCCTCCACCTCCTCCTCCTCCTCTTCCCCCTGATCTTCCAAGCCGCGGGCGAAAATGTTTCAGGTCGGGAAAGCCGCTGGCCGATCGCACCCCGCGCATGAGCCGGTACCACCGCGCCCGCAGCGAGCGCGCGCCGATAGACGGCCCAGGGAATTCCAACCGCGCCTGCCCAATCTTGCTCCTCCTCCTCCTCCTCCTCCTCTTCCGCGTTATCCTTCTCCACGTCTTCCTCCTA